AGGAGAAAAGGTTTAGGTGTTTTAAGGGCTCATCGTAAGGGAGATTAGAAAGACCCTTCACTATTTTCGTTCTCACAGTCTGGACACGTTCAAGTGTGTTAGTACCATTTATCAGACATGGGCTAGCTGCTTGTATACAGTACTTTAAGTGTGGCCTTACATAGGTGGGATATAAAATTCGAAAGATCTCGTCAAAGCATTTGAATGCTCGGCGAAGTGACCATAACACACGACAACCATAACACGACAACTGTCGTTCGTAAGTGGCACGGGATTTAGCTATGGTCTTTCTACATACATCCCGGACATTCTGGTATCCACACTTAAAATATGCATGTCATGTTGACAAGAAGTGTTTCCTGAACTTCAACATCTTCTGGGTTTTCCTTATTACCCATGAAGGGCATTGTGATGGCTTACGTGTTGACCATTGGATAAACTGTAGCTTTACGGACTCCAATACAGCCTTAAACTTATTCCATTCGTCTTTGATGGATCCACCATCATCGATCGACTATTCAATAGAGATAGCACAGTTACTGATTGCCGGAATATTAGCTCTGTAAATATTCGGACGGGGTGGAGCGGATAAGAACTGTATACTATGTGTCCGGAACTTAGAGGAAAGTACAACGTGATCACTATTCACTAGTGGTGGAAGGTGCTGAATGCCGAAGACATCTTCACAGTGGTGTGTGAGCATAAGGTCCAGATGTGAATAATCATGTTCTCAGTCAATATGTGTCAATATACATTATACAAGTGCACACTGAATAATTGTTGATAATATTGAAACCCCAACCTGACGCTGTGAGCTCTGTCCGGTTGATATGCGATGAGTTGAAGTTTCCAATGATGAGACGACATTCTGCCTTACTCCGAGAACAGATGTGTCTTAAGTAAAAGTCATCAGCAAACCTGTTTCTAGACTTAGACAACATGCTACCTGACATGTACCACTAACATGCTCCTCCGATACGGTTGATTGTATGCGGAAGTGATCCCTAACACATAACATTATGCCTACTCCGTTGCGATCTATAACTCTATCATGTCTAATACAGATGTAGCCTGCAATGATGCGTGAACTTTCTGTATTTACTGTGAGGCAAGTTTTTTTGACATCAACTATATCGAGACTCAATTCATCCACCATCAAACTTATCCCAAACATTTTATTTCGAAGACTACAGGCGTTCGTGTAGCGCACAGTGAAGGTGTTTTGAGAATCATTTCCTCCACCCATACAGTTCTCGGTAGCATTCGCTTCCAATACCTGACTACTCGAAAATCCTTAATCGTAAGGTTCGTTTCGACATTTAACTTTCGAATTCTTAACTCCGTCAAAGCAATTTTCCACTTCAATAAATGCTGATGCTGCCAATCTGGTTGGATACAAATATTTGCATAACAAGTTTTGTGGGCGTTATTCATTATTACATCTCTTTCTTCAACATTCTCGAGTACAAACTACAAGATCCTTCTTGGTTGAGTCTCGTTTACAACCCATATATCGAGTCTTATTACCCTAGTGATATATGCCCCTGAAACCTCTTCAGGCAGTACAATTCTGATGACAGATTCCACTAAATGCGGATCGTGTGCGTGCCTTTTAGCAGGTTTGTTGCCTTTCGACTCTCCTAGATTCCAAATAATTAAACCAGGAATGGGTCTAACCTTTTCAAAAGTCATGTTCAGAGCTTTTGATTGTGATGTCAGATTCTGCCTGTCAACAGCTGACATCTTAACGTTAACTTTCCTTGTAACGGTGTCGTGGGAGTCGAGAGAGTGACTGACGACAATGTTTGATGATGCCAAGCTTTACTCATTCTATGATGGGCTTAAATATTGTCTTACTTTTGGAATTTCAAAGAGCGATCTGACACGCGGAATGTGAGTTTTCAACTGAACGGGTGTTATTTTCTGCTATCTTTCCTTCTTTCCTGCATTTTTGTGCCATCCATTTCCCATCAGTCGCAGCATCTATATTAGAACCTTTCGGGACAATGATGGTTTTGTTTGGTTCATCATTCACCTCTGTAGCGACTTGGCCACCAATATCGAATGGTTATAGTCCATTAATTGTTTCAGGGTAAAAAGATCAGTTGCGTGTTGCACAGTTGGGTGTCTGGCACTTACGACACTGATGCCTTCTTCGACATTTATCATGCTCAAAACAAACACGCATTGCTTTACTTATGAAGAATATGTGAGTAATTAGTGTGACACTTACAGTAATGTTATACACAGTTCCTGTATTTGTTCATGAAGTGGGCAGAAAAAGCTGTCAACATCAATTGTTACTCAAATAATTTTTTCCTCTGAGATACCTTGCATAATAATATGTCAGTTCATTGGAAAATGATGATACTTAAAAATGATGGAACTGTTTTCGGCCCTATATTAGCAAGATATACAATATTAATAAATAGTTTTTCGCTTCATTGCTTCAACCTATATTTTATAAGCATCTACAACACCTATGTTCATCACCTCTATAGTTAATGATGTGAGACATATGTAAAGGGTTTTAGAGTTCATATTTGCTCAAAACTCTGATTTCGGCCAATTCCTGACTTCATAAATGCTGAATTTCACTTGCCTTAGTTTGCAGTGTTACAAATAACTACATTAGGCTGAATAAAATTCACGCGGGTTGTGAGCTACAAATACGTCAAGCTACTAATAAACTGGAATAAAATCTATGTAACAAGCACAAAAGTTACGAAAATTGGCGTATGACGGAAAAAATAAAGTTAGTAGCTGATAAATAACGACATCCAATAGACTTGACAACATGCAACATGCGCATGGGAACCCGTTGCATGACTTCTTGGTCGTGCCGGATAAATGACATTGCCCTTTGTAAATAAAGCATACCTACTTACTTACGCCTGCTACCCCCAATTGAGCATGGGTCGCCGATCAACACTGCCCCAAGATAGTTTGCCAGAGCTTCTGCTTTTTTTATGATCGTCCTTTATTAATTCAGAATCCAATGCTGTATCCTCGCTTTGTAATTTGTTTACGAGAATAGTCTCTTAAGTTACTTACTTACTTACGCCTGTTACTCCCAATGAAGCATAGGCTGCCAATCCGCATTTTCCAACACACTCTGTTCTGAGCCTTTCTTTCTAGTTCTATCCAACTTTTGTTCATTCTTCTCATGTCTGTCTCAATTTTTGGCGTAATGTGTTCTTTGGTCTTCCTCTTCTCTTTGGACCTTGAGGATTTCGAGGGCGTTCTGTGGCGTAATTAGATGCTTTCCTCAATGTGGGTCCTATCCACTTCCAGCGTTTCTTCCTCCACTGAAATCTGGTTTTTTCTCTCCCACATTAGGTTGTTGATGATGCTGCCCAGATATGTAAAGGTTTTCACATCCTCCAAAGCTTCTCCGTCGAGTGTAATTCGGTTGGTGCATGCTGTATTGTATCAGAGAGTCTTGCTTTTCCCTTTGTTTATATTGAGATCTACTGCTCCTGAGGCTATTGCTACATTGGTCGTCTTTTCCTGCATTTGTTGTTGCGTGTATGATATAAGAGCCGGATCATCTGCGAGGCCTAAATCGTGCAGGTTCATCCTAGCAATCCATTGTCTCCCGTACTTCCCTCCAAATGTCGACGTCTCCATGATCCAGTCGATCACAAGGAGAAAGAGAAAGGGTGAGAGTAAGCAACCTTGTCTAACACCAGTCTTCACCTCGAGTGAGTCGGTGAGTTGTCCTACGTGAACGATTTGGAAGTTTAATCCATCATAAAAATTCCGTATGATATTGACTATCTTTTCAGACACGCAGTACTGTTGAAGAAGCCTTCATAATGTTGTCCTGTTCAAGCTATCAAATGCTTTCTCGTAGTCAATGAGGTTGATGTAGAGTTATGAATTCCACAATGATCCGTTTAGTTGCGATTTGGTCTGAACTCGATCGATCCCTACGGAATCCAGACTGTTGATCTCGAAGTTGGGCGTTTACGGAGTCCTTCATCATGTTTAGCAATACCGTGTTGGAGATTTTTCCTGGTATTGAGAGGAGATTGATGCACTTGTAGTTATCGCATCTGCTGAGATAGCCCTTATTTGGTATTTTGACCAGGAGTTCTTTCTAATCTCTTGGTACTTGTTCTTCCTCCCGGATCTTATTGAAGAGAATGTAGAATACCATTAGAGTTACTGCTTTGTCTGCTTTCAGTGTTTCTGCCGAAATGTTATCTGGTCCCGCTGCTTTACCACTATTGATTTGTCTGATGGCTATTCTGATCTCTTCAGTTGTTGCTGGGCCAACAGGGATTGGGAGGTCCGTGTGTGCTGCTAAAATGTTAGGTAATTTCAGTGTAGCTGGTTGATTCAAGAGTTCTTTGAAGTGTTCTACTCACCCGTTTCGTTGTTCCTTAATGTTGGTGATTATCTTGCCTTTTTTTGCTTTTCAATGGTCGTTCTGGCTTACGATAATCTCCAGCGAGTTTCTTTGTCGTGTCATACAACTGTCTCATGTTTCATTCTCTTGAAGCCTTTTCCACAGTCACTGCTAAATCTTTCACATATTACGTTTGTCAGCCCTGACGATCCTCTTCACTCGTCTGTTTACTTCTGTGTATTCAGCCTGAGCCTTGGCTTTTTCTGCTCTTGTTCGGCTGATATTGATTGGTGCCTTCTTGTTCCTCCTTTCTTCAATCTTATCCAGTGTGAAAACAGTGATCCATTCCTTGTGATGGTTCTTTTTGTGGCCCAGAACCTCTGACATGCTGAAATGAAATGTCGTCCTGTTTTTCATTTCTTGAATAGCGTGCGTTGCAGTAATTATTGAGTCATTTAGTTGTATAACGCCTGCAAGTGTCTCAATAACTTTCCGTATTTAGCGTAAATAACAACTTTTTTTCAACTACGATTATTAAATAATTAGTCCATTGAAACTCGTCATTACAGTATAGGCGTCTGAAAGTGACCTTCTAACGACGTACAACATCCTTAGGTGCCTTGTTTGAGCGTTGCCTTTACGGTAAATGTTACAAAAAGGTTTTAGAATCCAACCAAACTGGGATAAGGCGTTAAGGTAAATGGACATAAATTTTTATATGTGATAGTGAAAATGAAAAATACATATGGTTTTATCAGTATGACATTGGTGAGTCTTATGAGCTGCTAATTTGTAAGTTTCTACCAAGTATCACAAACTGGAGAACAGAGGGTTGTCGCTGGTACCGGATAACCAAAATGTTTCTTGCGATTTGGTTTCACCTGTAATGTTAAGTTATCAAACGATTGGTTTTTCAGAAGCTATTAAAACTATCATCAGAAAACCCAGTCATCAACAAATTTTTTCAGTGTCCAGATTCCTCCTTTGACATTTCGGGCGGTATTTCTAGAAATGTAGGTCATAATTCAGTAACCTAAGAACTTCAGCCTCGTCCTCATGTATCTTCTTTTGATGTTAGTGCAAGTGGTGAACATTTTATTGCTTCTTTCACTGGGTCATCTGTAAAATTGTATGACGCTCAAACGGGGCATATTCGGGTACGTACTGATCTTTCATGTTGTCTTTTCAATAAATATTCCACTTCAACAGGACTTCAGGTTAGCTAAAGCGTGAACCCCAACTATTTTGTGATATTTAGTAGTACCTGACGGCTTGGTCCTCACTGGTGACGAAAAAAGGCATCACCTGGAATAGTATGATTGAAATATAATATCAGAAAGACCGAAATTTGTGGAAGATCTTTGAGAGACGCTCAGGTAACCTCGATAGAATGGACTGTGTATGCTCAGTTGTCTTTGTGTAACTCGACCTATCAGTTGTATTAATTTTAACTCATCTGCAAATAGTTAAAGCATATTTTACATGTATGGAATCCTTGGGTAACATACATTTAAACTTATCTTAATGACTAAAGGATATGTATACTCGATATCCTTTTTATATCTCATTTTCTAATTTTCATTTATGAACTCCATTTATTTTGTCGAATTAGTAAGTTTAGTTTTATGGTTCTCTTTTTATTAGTTCTATATCTTCTGTCATTTATATAAAATGTGGCGATTAGAAAAGTTACTACTGCCAGGGAAATCCTACTCACCTCCTCGTGGCCGGGGTGTTTACGAAATTGACAGGACGAAAAGCGAATATCCAGCGATTTAACCGGGCTGGTGGATCCACCTAGGGGAGTTCGAAAACCCTCATTCCAAAGCAATGGTGTACATGGTCTCCAGTATCCTGAGAGAACAAATGGCTTATGAACCAATCGTCGGTCACCGGCTACTATGGGACTGCATCTCCTTACGATGCTCCACTGCCTTGTTGATCAGACCTTAAGGTCAAAGGCTCCGGGTGTGGCCCCCTAAGAAAACTACCTGCTTCAGCTTGGGCACCTGGGAAGTATCACAGCACTCACACAAATCAAATGAGATTTGTGTGCGCATATATATCTGGTGCCTTTTTGTACCAATATTTGTGTTTAAATAAATAAATTTTCCAATGGTGGCTTTTGTTCCATTTTTTCCAGCGTTCTCTTGAAGGTCATGTTGGAGATGTATATACCTGCAAATTTTTTCCATCTGGGCTAGTTGCACTCACAGCAGGCAGTGATATGCAGTTAAAAATTTGGTGTCTCATTACTGGTCGTTGTGCAGCTACTCTTGGTTTAAATGGTACTGATTCTAATAATAAAAATGAGCCAGGAGGTCATAGGACTGGTATCCTGGACACCGCTATCATAGATCGTGGTCGTAATGTTGCTTCTATAGATCGACTAGGTTGGCTAAGGCTATGGGATGTGGCGACACAAGTAAGTAAATTGGATTTAATTTATTACGGACCCAAGGTTTTTTCATCCACTTAAAACTCATACGTATTGCTAGAACTAAGAGAAATAGAAGTTGGAAGCACTAAATTTCACATTAACTGGTTTTTACTTGTATGTAATAGTAAAAAGATTATCGTTTTCTTTGTTGTGGAAGGCTAAATCATTTTATTCTGAAGTGTTATTAGACTTGTGTTAGACTGTTCCAAGACATGTTGTGCGACACTGCTCTAAGAATAATCGTAGAATAAACGATGATTTTTTTTAAAAACTGCTACACAGAGAAATAAACCCACTTCATCATTAGGTTAAATGACTCAATAGTCAGTCAACCATAATTAACAAAGAGCTTCACGTTAACCGAATATGCTGTATGAAATCAACACAAGATGTTATTAAGATAATGAGTACCCAATATATCGAAATAATAGTGACAGTAGCGACCATCGATATGATCCAAGACGTAGTGAAAACGCCTCAATCTTACCAGTGATCTACCCAAAAATTTGGATTCGTTATGTGGATGACACATTCGTCTTCAAAAAGGACGAGCTAGAAAACACTTACAAACCGATCAACAACGTCTTCGATGACATCAAGTTCACAGTGGAATAAGAATCGAACAACGAGCTACCATTCCTGGATGTATTAATCACCAGAACCAACACAGGAAAACTGAAGACTCAAGTGTATCGAAAGCCGACCCTTTACAAATCAAGTTCTCAAACACAGTAGCAATAACCCAAAAAGTCTCAAAATCAACTGCGTACGAACTCTGTTCGAGAAGGCGAGGACACAATGCAACGCACTTGCAGCACAAAAAAAACAAAGAAAAATACCTGGATACCATCTTTCAAATGAATGGATAACCAATCAATCAAATCAAAAAATACCAGCCGCACGCATCAGAAACAAAATCAAGTACGGAAATTAACAAACGGATCGCCCTACCATACATAAAAGGCATATGTACCTGGTGCCCTTTTGTACCAATATATATGTGTTTAAATAAATAATACAACGAGATTGTTGAAGCGTTTTGGAATAGGTGCAGCACACAAACTAACAAAATCGATTCTATACAAACTAAATAACAAGAAGAAAAACCGAGCATTTTGGCCATAGTAACCTGTTCTGAATAGTGCTACACATCTTGTCATTAATTGCGATTATCGCCCAGACACTATGTAGACAGTCTAAGTCTATTAACATATCTCGGACCTGCGGTTATTTACTTTACAAACCGATCCCGCGGAATGGTTTGACAGCTCCTAGCTTCCTTCCTGAATTCTATGGTTGACAGAGCGTTGTGATATGCGGGTTTTGAGTACGTGTCACATTTCCCAGACAGTCGATGGAGATTCACATCCGCAACAACTAGTCGTCCATCAACAACAGAGTACTGGTTAGTTAACATGGATTTGAGTTGCATATTTCGCATGGAGTCTAACAATGAATACTTCCTGTTATGGCAAAAAATGCAAAATGTGATATTCGAGATATTGTGTATCAGTCAATACGCTCTGATATGAAGTGAAACCTAACGATAAATGTAAGCAAAAACATCGTATCTCTCAACTTTTCTAAATGTGGAGTATATATAAGACAATAGAAAAATTAAAGTCCACCGAAACAGTCTTTGTTACATAAACCTTAGTTTGGTCCACAGAAAATATTCGACTTAAAATTTCACACATAATACTACATATTTAAATATATAACTTAGCAGTTTAATTCATTGACTTGGTACTATTTATGTAACATCGTTCTTAATGGCCCTGATGCATTCGCTCTTTATCTGTTTCCAGATATGAATCCCATTATTGCTTCATATATCACTCTACATTTCCCTTAGTTTTTTCCAATACCATTGCTACTACATTATTCCTATCTCTCTTGATATTCCTGTCCGTTTCATCTCGTCACGCTATTGCAGTATGACACTTTAGGTCAGTCCAAATAAGCACCCCAGGCTCTATGTTGATATAACTAACGGACTGCAAATGGAGTTTCACCTACACGAACTGAGAGTTTAGTTTGTCGCTAATCTTCATACAAGTGTTACAAAATTAGATTATCAACATATGTTAAGTTATCATTTTGTAGTTTGTATACAACTACATAGCAACTAGAATAAGTTGCACAAAACAAAATGGTCAAAACTCTGATTTTTCGATCAGAAAGTTTAAAATGCATGTAATTAATCCACAAACAACCAGATAAATGTTTAGTGTTCAAATCTGCTTAGGTTCAAGTAGACAATTCTATTACTTTAGCCGTGGTTACATCGAATTAACTGAACTCACGCCATTGTGAAACTTTCATGTTCTTACTTATTCCATTTAGACTTGTATATCAGCAATCCCAGTGACTATTAGTGCTGTTAAACCATATACCATTTCCTCAACAGTCCCAGAAGAAATAACATGTTTAGCAATTCGAAAACATTCTGGTTTACCGATTCAAACAGCTAATCCCATCACTTCAGATTCCTGGTATAAAGGCAAGTTGTAGGTTGTTTATTTTAACTGTCCTGTAATATCAAAACCTTTATTCAATAAGGATATAGTAACAAGTGCAAATATTCTAACGGTAAAATATATTTCACATTTACCCCCATTTGACATAACATATAAATGTCAGACTAATTGTATTATTTAGCAATGGGCGTATATACATATCTTAATGAGCATTTATATTCTTCCATTATGATCATCCGTATCAAATTGACATGATCACTGATGCCACGTGTTACGAAGTCAATGCTGACTAAAGTTAAAACCAATATTTACAATTTCTTAAAGAATGAGTGATACGACTGCATAACGATAGTACTGTTGACAAAATGCAAGCAGAGTAATATCTCATATTAAGATATCTAATAAGCAAATTACAATTCACTTTTCTAAAAGGATTACTCGAAGATATGATAAGTGGCTCAAAATGAACGTATTACAGTTATTTGTAAGATTGCTGCATACATCACATGGACCAAGAATGTCATTGGAAGCACTAGTGTTTAAGTACACTACCAGCTTATCTAGTGTATTGGAGTCATCTAGAAGTCTATTTAACTCATGAATAAAGTGGATTATTTCTGATTTTTAACGCAGTCTAACTGAAAGTCGGTTCGCTCTCTCCCACAGTAGGTTATTGCTGATGGTATCCGCTCAACGGACATTGAGTATCTTGCATAGACAATTCTTTCCAAACACTTGTACCTTTTCGATGATAGTTGTAGTACTTCCCCACGTTTCAGCTCCGTACAGTAGGACTGTCTTGACGTCCGTACTGAAGATTGTGATTGGTTGACAGTTGTTTTGAGTTACATATGTTCTTCGACTATAGGAATGCGGCTAATGCTTTGCTAGTCCTCGCCTCTACGTCTGCATCAGATCGATGATGTTACCCAGATACGTGTGAATTTCCACTTCTTTCAAAGCATCTATTGTAATTGGGTTGGTGTTTGCTGTGTTGTATGCCAGGAACTGTATTCCTTTGTGTATGTTGAGGATTGCTGCTACACTGGCTGTCTTAACCTGCATTTGTTGGTGTGTATGTGATAGAAGTCCAAATATATATATATTCCTAACGGTAAGTGCTAATATAGAAATACATCTGTATTCTGCTGTTGATTTATTTCCTAACAGTTCAAGAGACATCTTCGACAACTGCTCAAGAAGTTGCTACATCCGATGCCTTGATTGCTGTTGGCACTGGTACTAATGCATCAGTTCGTTTATATGAGCTGGCTGCTCGTCAGAAAGGTTGTGTTATTCAGTGCACGTTACCGAGCGGCAGTGGATCGGTCGGGGCATGTGCTTTTCCTGAAGAGATACCGATACCATTTTCAAAAGAGATTCAATTCATCGATGTACCTAGAAGTTGTGTTTCAAGCTTTATGGACTATGGAATTTTTGCCGGTAGTCAACAAGGAGATCTTGCTTCATGGGATATTCGTCAAACAAAACAACCGTTATGGCAGTTGACTCGTAAGTCGATATTAATGAAAGTAGTTATTTTAATTATCAACCATTTTGAAATTGAGTTACGTTGAAAAACCTGAGTAGGATAACAATAGTTGTCAATAATATTTAGCCCTAAAATTTCATAATGTGTTGTTGAATATTTGTTTTCATTCTTTGAAATAGATGAAAAAGGTGCTGTTCAACAAATACGTGTGTGTAGGCGAGCTAATTGTCAATATCTGTTGCTTGTTGTTAGCCGAAGTGACGGACGGACTCTTGTTTATCCATATGATCCAGCAACAGCACATAGTGATGCGCAAATCCCTATTAGTCTGGAGCTTACTGGAGTGAATTGTGAATCTATATGTGGTCTCTCAATGGTTTATAAATCATCAGGAGGAATCGGTGTTTGGAGTGCAACTCGCAGTGGAATCGTTAATCAATATACTAAACTTTCAGATGAAATAACGTTTAGAAACTTATAAGTGACCACAAATGTCAAATATGTAGAAATCAGGTCTTTATTTTTCCGACAAACATCTTCGAACTATCGACACAGTAAATCTCATCCTATCATTGAAAACCACAATATTATATTTATCATGTTGTACGTACAAATTATTCTAAAGGCAAACTGGTTATTTTTTTTAATAAAAAAATTCTTATTGTTATATAGTCGTTCAAAAGGAATAAATTAACGACGATCAGTTTTTCCAGTTCCTCGTTTGCCTGAAAACAGATGTTTTGGTTTTAGTGTTGGAATATGACGATCTCCTTCGCCTTTACGTGCTAATGTTACCACTTTACGTTGAGCAATTTTAGACATGCGTTTAACGGTGTCATGCATTTTTTCATCACGTAAACCAGATCTAGATCGCGATACAGATGCACGTGCAATTGAAGCTTCACGGTGTGGATTTGGTGTTGAATTCCGTGCTCTAGCAGCTCTCTTTAGTGACCGACCACGTTCGCCCTAAAAATAACCAAGAAGAACATATAACTAAGGTTATTTTGTCAACTAAACGTATGAAAAAGCTATTTAAGATAAGCAGCAAGTCCTTCATCCAGATTGTCAGGAAAATATTTAAAGAATTATATGATTTCAATAGCTAAAATCCCTTCAAAATTTTATATGACTATACTTTTAAAAGTTAAATGAGAGAAAGAAAAGTAAAGAAACCCTGGCTTACCTGCTCATGCATATCCACTTCCAAACCAAGCTCACCAAGATCTTTATGTATTTTATGTACACTAACTGAGCGGACACTTCGAGGTACTTGAGGTCTACGTACTTGCTTACGAGCTCGTGATTCCAAAACACGCAATGCTCGTGCCTCTCTTATCCTATAATAGAGTGAGAGACGAATAAATGTATTTAAATCTGATGCAACATAACAATGCTTTCGAAAAAGGGTGATTACATAGAAGACAAACTATTTAAGGCAAGAGATTTACTATGGTTTATGGTGTAATCACATCAAACATGTAACACGAATAGGCCAACGCAGACAGAACGTAGGACAAAGAATCTGAAATATTCCCACGTTTAAGCATTAATGCATTTGAATGGCATATTTTTAAATTTCATGCTGCCGGGTTTAGTTGCTTTTCACTTTATTGCCATTAAAGTACTGACCATGAAGCTATAAGTGTGACAGGTCAATAATATCAATATGCAAAAGAATTAAGCTTTGCATTCTTTAAATCTAGAATTGAAGCAGCTGAAGTTACTAGCGGTGACATATGTAGTTTCAACAGAATAATATGTAAAACTTCTTACTTTGCTGCGGTTTCTTTGATTTTTTTCATTTCTGGGTCATTTTCCTTCTTCAGTAATTCAGATTCATCGTAAAATCCAGCATTTTCGAGAGCAGTCTCTTGTTCTTCCAAAGCATTTAGCTTCTCCTCAATTTCAGGATCGAATAGGTCGATCAGGTTATGTCCATTCAAAATCTCAGGGATTATATCATTTGCCTCTTCAGGACATTTTATACGCCAATGCTCTCTTAAATTCAATATGAAGCCTTCATCAGGATCAGCATCTGGTTCACGATCACGCATTGTTCGACGTTTCGATGAGTTGTCATCTTCGTCTTCAAGTTGCGAGTAAGGTTGTAGTGAATTAGCAATACGAAGACGTTTAAGTATACGTTTCTTTTGTTTATCTAGAACACCGTCGGGAATTATTGGTGGACGAGATGGTGCATCTGTCTACATCAAAATAAAATTAAAGGAGAACTGGATCAATCAAAGTGATTGTAGAACAAAACATGTCATCGATCAGTAAAAAGTAGGACTGTTAACTTGAGAAGTGTGAAAAATATGAGCTTTCAAACAAGCGTTCTTGATATGTTTGATGTCAATTAACTAAACTCATTTATCAGGTACAGATTTGTGTACTTGACCTTCAGTAAGTATGAAGGTTAATGATACTGCCCGGTTGGTCAAACAGAAGTGGGATGGGGTTTGAAATTGTGACTTAGGAGTTGGAAGTCAAACACCTTAACAACTGATCCAATGCGAAAAATCAATACTCAAACAATGGGTAATTTAGCTTAAAACGTATGGCAATATAACGTATTCACCAACTATTTCCTATAATAGGGTAACATGGTGGTTGGAGGTGGTCAACAGGAAACCCTGGACCCGGGTTTCGTGCTACTTGGCACTCGTCAGCAAGGTGTACCTGTAATCTTGAGGGAACTGATGCTCCCTGGCGGATTCGATCCCGCGTCACTCAGCTTCACAGTCAGAGACGTTACCATTGAGCTATTCGGGCCGCGACCGACCTCCTGTAGGATTGAGATCTAATCACAATTGATTGGTCACTGGGTGGTGATCAATCTCATGCGTGTCAGGTCCTTAGTGCTGATCGAATGCTATCGATCAAGTTGCAATGTGGACCTGACACGCATGAGATTGATCACCACCCAGTGATCAATCAATTGTGATTATTTCCTATAATCTTGTTACTTAACACACTTTTTTAAAACTACTCTTGAGTAGCGTAGCAAATTCGGGTAATCTGCTTCTATACATAGTTCTGATTTTGTCTGCCATGATCTTTGGGAAATCGACACCTTTTTTCTACGAAATAAGTCATTATTTTAGTTGACAAGACTTTAAGTTCAGTAATACTGACGTTTCGCCAGCATATTGTCCTCTTCAGTTATCATTCTATTAAATACTTCCTGATGCTGGAACTGAGTAGAAAAAGAAGACAGGATATTAGTATACGGCTCGAGACCATTAAAACAAGTTGTGTGAAATTAGCACTGCTCACTCTGTGACTCGCCGAGGTCTTAAAGCTCGTGAGAACTAATGACCTCAGATGTTGTCGGATATGACTCATTTAAATTTGTGGCGATAATGAAGGACTTGAAAGAAGTCAATCTCGAGGCCTTATTCTGTCAAACTGCACAAATTATGATACAACACGATAACGAAGTTCAGGTTTGCATACTAATTTTCGAGACATACTTTTAGACGTCAAAATCACAGAAGATGGAATTGAGTTTCAACACAGATTGACTCAGGTGCGATGTACTCCTTAAACTAGGACAATGGTTTATTGTCAAGTGACAAGTATTAGATGTAGAAGCATATAAAGCCACGAAAAAATTACATGTAATCTAACCATTCACCTGTAAAAAGTATATGACATTACCTTATTTTCGTCTAGTTTCGGTTTAGCTATATACAACCGATTAGAAATATCAACATTACTGCCTGGTAGAGTAGCAGCTCGAATTTTCGCTTGTACACGTTGAGCTAACAAGTCGTCACATGCAACTGAACGAACAGTCACTAAACCAACTTCAGTAACAGTGGACATTTCAACAAAAATTGGTCGATCTGGATCTCTGACTTGTTTATCAGTATGCCACTGGACAATACTAATAATCGATTGTTTATCTTCCTCAGATAGTTCTTCAAATGGTTTGATATCAACCTGAAAAAGGGTGAATTGGAAGTTATTTAGGTTCTTACGATTCCTTGAACTGTTTTCAATTTAATAAATGAAACCAGTTAGTTATTATTATAACAACAAGTTATTATAATAACAAGCCATCACTACATGAAAACGTGGTAATGAGATTATTTGGAATACAAAATTATATATTTTCTAAACAGTATGTGTTTCAATTGTAATGAGATTAAAATTGCTTCATATCTTTCTTCTTGTACTATATCTTTATACACAATCTCCTACATATCACCACCGTTAAATTAGTTATTTCTATGAATTCGGTGTTCATCTTGTTGTGCTGGTGAAGTATGGCAACTTCGTCAGGCCGTCAGCTACAACGTAGGACCAGACACATTTATGCATTGGTCCAAGTTGCCATACCTCGTTAGCACAACAAAATCAACATCGAATTCATAGAAGTACTTAATTTAGTGGTGTTAATATATGAAAGAAAGGTTGTATATAAGGATATAGTACAGGAAGGGAGATATGAAGCAATTTTAGTCTCAAGGTTTAAGGGAAGATAAAGAGTGTATATATCTATGTCATTGTGATCGATTCTGAACCATGTCACCTAGAGTCTCCAACCTTTGGTTACGATAGTCACGCGGACCCCAACCAAGTAGTCTGCATCTACCAACATGGCTCAGACTAGAAGTTAGTGACTTCAAGCACTGATGCCATGTTTTGTTTTGGCCGCCCCTAACTCTCTTCCAACCATTCCTACACTAGTCAGCATAGCGCGTCGTGGTAATCGGTGTTCAGGCAACTTTAACCGATGCATATATGTGCCTGGTTCTACGTTGTAACTGACTGACTTAATTGTAATGAAGACTGAGTTTGTGAATGGTTCATTCAAATAAACATGATATGGAGAAGCCCATCTCAAGCGTCTGTTGCTATAACAAAGTAGTTATTTTCTATGCACTTAAATGTCACGTTAAATTTACGACATAATTTGTTTGACGAAGATTGAAATTGGTCACTAATACATATATGATTTATATTAGTGCAGGTGTATAGAGATTAGTTAGTTTATGGTTTACATAAGGTACAGAACTATTAAGATCGAGGAAGCAGTGGAAAGTTGTTCAGTCCTGTTATGAGACATCAACAGCACGTGTTAATTACTCCGCAAGGGATTATGCATGAAACCTCTTCTATCCTCGAGGTTTGGGATCCAGTAACATAATTTTTGGAATAAATACAATTATTATTGTTATTTCAAAAGGGGATTGGTGTTTAGTTATGGAGTGATCAAAAATTAACATGTAATTACTCTACCAAATGAAGGTATGGAACTGGTCGGCGAAACAAGACGAAGTTAAGGAGTCATAAATTCTAACCAGTTTATTTTATTGTCCTAAGGCTCATCGTCAATATGATGGGGCGTTGGGACGTTTTAACTATATAATATTCTCTGTAGTAACATCAACATGATACTAGGCAATGAATTCAAATTGAACACCAGTTGTAACATTCAATAAAAAGATTTGCAAGCATTATGGTTATAAT